CCCAGGAAATCCTCGCATGTATCAGTGCTATACACAGGACATGTAAAAGAACCATAAGAGCTAGGGACTGATTCCCGGATTCCCTTGTATCTCATAGCTGTCTCTACAGTCTGCTTGGGTAAGGGCCCTACTGGAAATAAGAGCTTGCACTTTCGTAGGTTCACCTTGACCACCCGGTCAACTGTTTGTAATTAGTTAGGTGTCTTATTTTTGTGTATATCTTTGTGTGATCTTCATTTATTTGAATAGTAAAATATATAGGCTGTAATTGATATTTGTGTTTTCTATTTTTGTGACGATCAATTCGATTAAAATCAGCTCTAAATAACGCTCCTCTTTTATTAGAATCTGACCGTGACCAAATACGAAGTAATTTTGGTGACATGTCAAACAGCAAGTTTTCGGCGAGCTTTCATAATTTTGGAAAACCAATACTGAGTAGGTAATTTCACTATTTCGAGACCAGACATGGCGTTGTCCATATAGCCGACAGGTAAACTGGCAAAACAATATTGCCTATTAAAAATTGACTCTAATATTTCAAGTTAATTTGTTAAAAATTACTTCAAACATTCAAACATCAACACTTTCCTTTTACTTGATACTTCTTCTAATGCCGGTAAAATCCGATTTGATTGCATGGCTAAAAGTAGCTATCTCGGGAAATTCGAATTATAAAGAAGGCGAAACATAATATATGGTCGTATAAGATTTACATAACAGAAATAAGTAGAACTGAACTTTAGTAAGATTGTGTGAAGATTGGTTTAGAATATTCAATTAGTATCACACGTAAAGACAGTTTTCTTTTAAAATTTTTGTTCCCTGGCATAGGAACATTTCTGATCATAAACATTCCAACGATAATATCCTATATCATATTATATAAACATTCGTCTTCTTGTCAGCAGCTTGAATTAGTTTTTTATTTGAATTTATAAAGGCAATAATCAAGAGATATATCGAGAGGGAAGAGATTTTGGCCTAATGCCACCGACACCTTGAGATTATAGTTTATTTCGGTGACTTATACATTTACAGTATCTCGTTACATACAATAATTACAAATAAAATAATTCTATGGCCACACGAGAATTTGAGTCATAACCTTGTATACTGAAAAAAAGAAAATGAGAAGCACCCTTTGACATTGATAAACGTCTTTCCTTAGGTTGCGCCCGTTGAGACATAAGATTTATGATTATAACGTATAGAAGAAGTGGAAATGAGTTTTAACATCCAATTAAACATAAATATACATAAACGATTGATAAAGTTTAAAAAAGACTGTATAACAAATATATCAAATAAGTTGAAACAAAGAGCCTTTGTGTATTGAATTAAGGAAGGCTTCTCAAAGATATTGCATTACATAAAATCTTTATATTATTTTTCAATATCTGATATGTATAAATCTTGATAAAAAAAAGTGGAGCCTCAGTACTATGTTGAATCAGAACATAAATAGACTGTGAGAATTTTAAGAATTTATCCCTCCTGTGAGGACAAAGGCGTAGTTAAACACTAAGTTAATAAGACAGAAAAATAACGTTCCAACTATGTTTTGTCATATATTAAGCTTATTTTCTGAAAACAAATGACAAATTTGGTTTACCAAGATTATTGTCGTCAGGCAGACTTATTCACTATTTTTTTTTTCTATTTTTGGATAATGACGTGAACTTTGGCAGCATAATTTCAATGATATTTAAAAGGTATTGATATTTTATAGGCACGAAATGTCTGTCAGCTTGTGTCTTCTTCAAACAGTGCAACTTAGTTCATAGTATTCTGTTAAATCTCAGAATCACTTCACACCTTTACCAAAATAACCACTGTCTGCGAACTATATTATCCCCCTTAATAATCCTATACAGTGCCATTGAGCAAATTTTTCTTTACTTTTTCCCATAAAAAAAAAATCTCGTTTAAACTACTCGTAAGAATATTCTAACTCAAAAGAGTAAAAACCTTCTAAATAAATACATTTGATAAAGCATGTGAAAGTTATCAAATTTCACTAAATGTATGTCAGAATAAATTATTAAATTGTTATTTATAAGAAAAATTGCCAAGTTGTACGTTCTTTATGGTTTTCATTTCATTTGTTTGACAATATCAAGCTTAAAGCATTGAAAAAGGCAACCTTTTCTTTATATTAGTTATATCATTTAGAACGAAACAGAATAGAACAGAATATTTTATTTTTACTTGCATCTAGTAAATATTCATTAACAATAATAATGTTGTGATACATTGATTTAGAGTTTTGAATACACTTTCAAACATCGTAATAATACATTTTATTATGTGAAGAAGTTAACGCATGCAGTACAATTAAATAGTATTCCAAAGATCGCCATTTTACAAATGAAAATAAACAATAATAGAATAAGAATGCAATATACTAGTATTATAATAGGTCGAAATTTTTTGTCCAAAATATCTTAAATCTTCCTGATTAACTCATTTTGCGTTTATCAATAGTTCTTCGTGTTTATTTGAGCCATTTAAATAATGGGATTTTAGACTTCCTTATGTTACATGTATAAGCATGAGCTCGGGTTTTATGTTATTTCCACTAACTGCTACTTTACTTTTATTGTAGTGCGCTGTAGTTATTTCCCCTTTTTAGACTTCAGTTAATGTAGAAAAAATCTTCGAAAGTCAAGTTGACAAAGAGTTATGGAGGGGCAAATCAAATAAATGTACACAAAAAAGAAGGCCATCCATTGATGTTTCAGACCAAGTCAAGTGTGATTCATCTTGTAGTTAATAATATAAAAAAATCCAAGACATTTCGTTGTCTTTACTCGAGGAATGAAGATTGGTTTAATCTTGATATAAGACCATCATAAATGCTTTATTTCAAGTTGGTGATAGTCCATCCATTAGTTCACGATGAAATGATATTTATAGTATTTCTTTTCAGCTCTAGCGGCCTTTGAAAGACTTGAACATGATCGGTGAAAATCGACCAATTTAGTTTAGATTTTTACATTTTGAGCTCAAGCGACACGTTATAGAGACTCACTTTTTATTTAAAACACTTCATATTGACTTTTCAATAAAAAAAGTTTGGTAATGATTCATTCATTGAATCATATGAGGAAAATCATTTATTTAAAGATATCTTTATTTTGAGATATAGCGACTTTTAAATGTAGAGCAAAATCATTGGAACGAATATAGGAGAATAGATCTCACAGAGTCACTGACCTAGGTCGGTCATGGTTTACCTATTGGATTACAAGAAGTAACAAGAAAAGCATTGATGCAAAGCATCAAAGGGCGTCCAAGCAAGAAATAAGAAAGTGAAGATGAACTAGTAGACATATGATGTCAAGATATTCTTATAAACTTTTCAATGGTTAATTGGTTTTTACCAAAATGAACGGACGGAAGACATTGTTCATTATGAACTTTGATTGGCAACGGATATACATGTATACAATCGTTTATCATCCATACCCATGTGTAACGCATGATCAACACCACACTTGTGGAATTGTCCCTTATTATGTATTCGCTATTAGCGAAGACCCCCTCTTAAGGTATCTGTTCACACTTAGTAAAACTATGACACTGGTTATATTACCATGTCATGTTGAGCATTATTGTTTATTATACAATAATTGTAATATCTATTTTAATAACAAAAAAAATAATACAGATTTTATGAATATTGTTTTCCTCTCTCTTTTTGTGTTTTATGTGCTATTTTAATACTGAGTTTTTTACGTTTACTATTCTTTTTTTTATTAAAATTGTAAAATAAATTTTAAGAATTCAAATGTCATATTGACCGACGATTATAAGTCAAAACTTTACTGGAAAAAGTCAGTAAATTATGGTTAATCTTTCAATATATAATATTATTTATTCTTAAACCATGTACATGTACATTTGTTTTTTTTTATCATTTTTTAAATTATCATTCAAAATCAAATAATTAATAAAATCTAATTTGTTACTTTGAATAATTCACCGGCATCTTTACTAAACACGATCGAATAACAAATAAAATAAAATGTTTCAAAGTTAATAGAGTCATATTAAAACCATAAAAATGTACCTTTTTTCACAATTATTGTACATATTTATTGTTTATATCTCGTATAGATAAAATGAAACATGCTTTTGTTGTTGTTGTTGTTTTTTTCGAATTGTATGTTTATGTATAATAATAATCAATATATTTGAGAGTTGATCTATGTTTATTAATTATTGTAACCAAACTAAGTGACAAACATTCATTTTGGAAAAAAAGCTTATTTATCTGTAAAATATGTTGTCGATCTGTTCTGTAACGATATCAAACATCTACTCCAAAACCGGGAGAGATCGGACAATAAACGTGTGATACTTTTCGCCGGTCACTAGTATCACGGTCAAAATAGACCGGGAGAGACCGGAATTACCGATAGGAGTACATCCCTCTATAAATAGATTTTCGGGAATATTTAGGTCATCAACTCATCATTCTATTTTACATACCATGATAACCCACTGTACTACAAAATGATAAATAAAAAACCGAAGAGACGGAAAAGGTTATTGCATTTGAAAATGAAAAGGTTATTGCATTTGAAAATGTTTGCATTGCGAAATCCTCCAGTTCGCTATTCATTGTAACATATCGCGACATTTAATTAATAATCAAGCACCCTCATACCGATCGGAATGATCGGCTTTTATCATGACCGACTTAAAGGCTCGAGAAGTTGCTGTCGCCCTTTCACAAAATCTGATTTCGTTCCATAAAGGGGCGCCGCGCTTCGGCGCGGACGCCAATCATTCAATTATAGACGTTTTAAGGCCAACTTAACAGACTAAAGAAACTCATATAAAAATGCATTATTAAGAAAATTTAACTCTAACAAACCTTTTTAGGTCGACCAAGTAAAGCCGACTACATTATTAGAGCAAAATTGGTAACAGACTTAAGATACCTTTATAAAAGATGCAACATAGAGAATTCGGATTTAATACTTAAATGCTTAGTTTTATAATATTTTATTGCATATATAAACATTATGAAATGAAAATATTCATTTCAACAAAATAAAAGTACATAACAGGGAATCCTTTTGGATTTTGGAAGTTACAGATAATTTCGTTCAAGAATAGATGTTCTTGAATTTTTATTTTGTAAAAACTCTTGCCTCTGTTAAGTATGTGTCAAAGATCATCCAAGCCTTGCTTAGTCAAATTATTTTATTTTACAAATTGTTAAATCGCTCCAGATATGGCATCCTTTTTCTAATTTCTTCAGCTGCATCTGCCCTGTTTATGTCCATCATTATTTGTTCCAAATCATTAAAGGTATTTCCTTCGTCCAACCATTTCTCAATCAGAATCCGTGTAGGACTTGATTGTATTCCCAGCCACCGTATTCTAGCCAGGCAACACTTCATTTTCTCGGCTAGATTCCTATAATCTCCCGCGTTTAAACTAGCCTCGTTTTGAGGATCCAATAGAATAACGAGTTCGTTTATCAATTCATCTCTTGGATCATCGCCTTGACATGACTGTGGATAAAAAGGATATTTTTCAATTATATGAAAATAGTTGTCTAATTCTATTAGCTGTCATAATAAATTTCATATGGTTCACAGTATACCACTGCCTGCGTGAATCCAGTGTGAGGAAACTCCTCAAGAGATTTGAGCTGCGTCACGACAAAACCACATAATGGGTTTGCGACCAGCATGGATCCAGACCAGCCTGCGCATCCGCGCAGTCTGATCAGGATCCATGCTGTTCGCTATCAGTTTCTCTACTTGTTATAGGGTTTGTAAGCGAACAGCATGGATCCTGATCAGACTGCGCGGATGCGCAGGCTGGTCTGGATCCATGCTGGTCGCAAACCCATTTTGTTGGTTTTGTCGTGACGCGGCTCATTTATAAATGAAAGTCACAAACACAATTTCACTAAAACCATTTGTGACATGTGTAACATTTTTCTAATACCCCTATCAATCATCATGATCACTTAGCGTAATTAAATAAATTCTGAAGAGATTTTATATATAAAAATTGACAAGCATCAAGCCCCGCCTTAAAAGTTAATTTTTATTCCCAATAAAAGAAAAAATATAACAACTTTAAGATGAAGTATGGTACGATATTTTACAGCTGCCACACATCACTTTTCAAAAAGATATTACTGTATTGAGTAATTACGTATATTGGGGCATAATTGAAGATTAATGTTATCAAGCCCCGCCTTAAAAGTTAATGATATATCTACTGTACTGCATTTTGCTCTTTAACAGAATAATTTTATTTCGGCATAGTTAACGTCTCTCTAAAGTCTTGCCGTGTATGTACAAACGATATTTATTGACAGAAAAGTAAAGTGTTGTTCTTTCTTTAATTAGTTCTTTCTTTAATTACTTCATGCACCTTTATCAGAGAGAGGTAGTAAAGCATGTATACAAATAAAGTTGTCAAGTTAATTTGTTCTATTATGATGTAACTGCCAGTATCACTGACTTTTGGAAATTCGCAATCCACTTCATTATATCGTTTTTATAAAGTATATTTGAGCCGCGTCACGACAAAACCAACATAATGGGTTTGCGACCAGCATGGTTCCAGACCAGCCTGTGCATCCGCGCAGTCTGATCAGGATCCGCGCTGTTCACTATCAGTTTATCTACTTGTAATAGGGTTTGTAAGCGAACAGCATGGATCCTGATAAGACTGCGCGGTTTGGCAGGCTGGTCTGGAACCATGCTGGTCGCAAACCCATTATGTTGGTTTTGTCGTGACGCGGCTCATTTTTCGATAAGCTGCAAATGTACAGTAAATACCTCTGTCGATGCCCCTGCAAGACGCCACTCGCCTGTAAGTAAAGCCAATTCCACCATCACATCTTGATCGTTGTCATGAATAATCAGATTTGTTGTTTCCATTATTTTCGAATTTGCATCGATTCTTGCAGCTATTTTTTCCACTTCCTATGCGATATAAACTTAAAATTGGTTATGGAAATAGACAAAATCGATATCAAATATTACCATAAAACAACAACCTGTAGTTTTAATAAATATAAGTAATTGTTCCGGATAGTTAACCAAACCTATTATTTCATAATAGACTCTGTTTCGTTCTCTTCTATCTCGAAGTCATTGGTCCCAAATCCTATAGACAGATAGTGCTCAAAAACTGACTTCACATACCATGTTGCATTTGTATTTTTTTTACTATATGACAGCAATTTATCATTATTCAACTAAGAAGAAAAACGAAAATAACTTTGTTTAACGGTATAAGTGTTTAAAAGTATTCACGAGGAAAACCTAACTTCAAGCAAAATATCTTTTTTTATCAAATGCAATGTAACGTTATATGATTTCAAAATACAATAAGCATACCTCAAGTTCGTCATTGTACTTGTTTATACAATAAAGTCTAGGTTTGTAGAAAGAACCTTTTTGAAGTTTTCCCGCAAATGCCACAATGTGAACTAGTTTAGCGGCTTGTTTACCAGGCCTTGATTCTCCTGTGCACGTGTATAATGTGAAATGGTGTAACTTTATTGTTACATTACTATTGCTCATATCTATAGCTTCATAGTCTGGTAATGTTAACGGTACCCAATCTTTCTCCTCATTTAAATCTCCTTCACGTTTTAGAAGTTTTGGCATCCAATCTGACGCGACATTGACCGCCGCATGGGAAAATGTCAAGGTCACCGGAAGCTTAAATTTGAGACCGCTCGGTTGACATAACACGACAGGACTTAACAAACTTTGTTTCTTTGAAAGCCTTGGTATAAATCTACTGTCCCAAACCTCCCCGAGAGAAATAAGCGTTTCGTCCTCTAAAGCATTTGGTGGGATAACTAATGACACACCGGAAACTTGCAAGTTCCCACCCTTTGGACCAATCGTCTTATGTACAAAAACTCCTTTATTTTGACCTATCAAGTCATCAAATCGTTGCGTGTTCCCGCCTAAAAGTAATGATGTCGGTGCACCTTCTTTCCAATCTTCAGTTAGAACCCTACTGACCTCAGGCATCCCACTGGACACTTTATCAACTATTTTTTACATTTTCCAACCGGGGGACTGGAACCCTAGAATTTTTTTTGGCCACTTTAAAAATAGGGGTTTGGTGCACCCATCATTTTTGGTCCAAATATTTCCCGCCCCAACCGAAAATTTATTTGCTTTTTTCCCTTTTTTAAATTTTTATCGAGGCCTTTCCAAAGAGAATCATTGCGTTAATTTATTCCCTTCCCTTATTTTTTTCCCTTTTGCCATAAGACCCGGGAGTGGTTTAAGTTTATATTTTTATCGGGTAATCTTAAAAATATTTAAAAAACCCCCCTATGATTTTCTTTTTGGGAAAAATTTTAAATTAAAAGTAGACGGAAAAATATCGTTTTTCATGCTGACGAAATTTCCCCAAATTACCCAGAAAAAGCCAAAATTTAAAATGATGGGGAAACAAAATAAAACTCCGAGAATGCCCAGACCAAAAACCCTTAAAAATTTGGGAAAATAAGGATACAATTAAAAATTTTTTGCACCCAAAAAAAGTGAAAAATCAAAAATTTTTAAATAAACGCATAGCATTTTTGTTTAAAAAAGTTTTTTTTAATTATTTTTAAAAGAAAAAAATTAAAATTTTTTAACCCCGTTTTTGGTAAGAAACCCTAAAGATTTTGCATTATTTCTTTAAAAATGAAAAATTACGACAATTTACTCATTTTAAAAACCTGAAAAATTATTATAAAAAAAAAATTCCCGGCCCGAAACCAACCCAATGCCCTTTATAATTTCATCAATAACGAAAATAAAACTTCAAAAAAAAAAAGTTGGGAAAAGTATAAAAAGCCACCAATAAGTTATTTGCCTCCCGAAACTTTAAAAAATGTTTAAAAAAAAAGAAAAATTTAATCTTAAAAAAAACAGCTCCCCAAGGGGCTTTTATGTTATTCATGGTTTTAAAAAGTCCTTTCGCGAAAGAAAATGTTAAAAAAAAATTTGTTTATTAAAAAAAATTATAACTTTAAAATTGCATCTATGTTTTAAAACGAGAAAAATGCGTCCAAAAAAATCCCCGAGACTCAAAAACCTTTTTTTTAGTAATTTTTGACACAAACCCCGATTTTATGGCCCGCCTTTTTTATCCCAACTAAAATTTAAAATTAAAGAAAGTAAAACGAAAGGAACTGGGAAGGTACGGGTAATTTATAAAACCCCGAAAATTTCAGGGAAAATGATACGGACCGTGGGTTTATGGATGAATCGGAACCCTTGTTTTAATTTTTTAAAATTTAATATACCCCCTTTATTGATCTACTTCAGTTTCTCTTAAAACATAACATGTGTACAAGAGTGTCCTAATTTCATGTGTAAATAATCACCGGATTGAAGTATAGATGAAGTATAGGTTCGGTCATTGTGTACTAGTACTTTTTTTAGAAATCAACCGATGCAAAGAATATACTAATGAATCAATTTTGTTAATTAGTTACCTAAGATAAATAATAGACAAGAAAAATATTACATACATTTGGTATGTAATTTTAGGTACGATTTGCATACTAACCCCTTTTTGTGAAGAGGTTTATGTTTTGCCCCTGCCATTAAAGGTGTAATTGTAAAATGAAACAAAAATGTCCCCATGAGATATTATATATCTTTAAACATTTTCATGGAATGTTATTAATGTATCATCATATTAAAGTTGCATGCTATCAGATGAGAAAAATGATTTCAAGGAAATCAAAATATAAAAAGAAAATTCACGGTCAATTGACTGCTTTGAAGGATAATCACAGAATAAAATAACAGGAAATTAAAAACCTTTTTAATACACTAAAGGTAGAATTTCATTTTAAGTCATAGTCACATATTAGAGATATGATTATTTATTCATATTAACACATTATTGGTTATATATTGATAAAAAAAACCAAAAGTATTTATTACAAATAAATATGAAAAATGTATTTTCCACCCTATGCGACGCGCCGAGATTAGCTATATTTATAATTCCCGCGCTAAGTCGCGGTGGTGCTTGGGATAGTCACACGATACTGTAAATGACAGCCATTTTACGATACGAAAATGCCTGGCCCTCCTCGGACAGTTATCCTGCCGAAAAGATATTAAAAATACTTTGCAATTCAACGTTTGTTTCCTACATAAAGATTATCGATCTACTCTTTGCAAACTTTTTCTCTGCCTGATTGTAAAATAATATTGATGTGTTTTCATTGGCCCTTAAACCATATCACGTTATCAATACACATAAAGGTGTGAACTAATTTTTCGTGTTCCATTAAAATTATTCCGTTGATAGACATTATTAACTCTTATTTACAAATGGAATTGATAAAACAACAATCCCAGGGAAGCATTTTCAAGATAATAAATTGTAAATTTGTTGTATGACAACTCAAACCCCTAAACAACGTCTGACTTCCCTTTACCTTAACTATTGTAGTTGCATACATGATTAGCAATAGAAACCAAATGTAAAAGTATTGTTAAAATAAATACACTATGACTCCACAAGCAGATTTTCGTACCAAAAAAACATCCGAAACCACTCCGATCTGGTACCGGGGGGGGGGGGGGGGCGTACATAGGCAAAAATAAAAACACGTTCCCTGTCGTCTCAATATCCCTTTTCATGTCGTCTCAATAAGTAAACCCCAGAAAAAATGAGCCCATCAACGAGGTCGAGCATGCTCTACTTTTAATCCCTATAAACAGTGCTGATAACTAAATCCTGAATTCCAGTTAACGCACTATGCATGTATTACTCTGACTTATTTCAAAAGAAAGGTCTTCAAACTATGATATAACGTAAAATTAATGGCAACCTTTCTTTTGAAAATGTGTTAGATATAAATCGAATACATATACATGCACAGTGCGTTCGTTAACTGGAGTGCATTTATAAGTTACCCGCACTCCAGAGTAGGCCTATTGACTGGCTCGTTTTGTCTTGGGTTTACTAATTTTGACGGCGGAGAAAGGGATAGTACGGAAGCCCATTGAGGCCGTTTTGAGTTAGAAGTTAGAACTTAGATGTTAGATCTTAGAACCTTAGGTCTTAGCCCTTAGAACTTAGATGTTCCGTATAGGCGGGAAAACGCCATATTAACTGCAAGATAGATTAGAAGATGTGAGATAATTTTTTTTTGATATTTTTTTATTTTTCTATTTTTTTATTTAAAGAATTGCAGAGATATAGCCTAGAACGTTTTAAAGATTAGGTGATTATATCTTTTATATAAGGACCATTGTTAAAAACAACCAATTTTAATAGAGACAAAGGTCGACCAAGCTATCTTCAACCAAGGCTGGGACAAATTGACTCCGTAAAGTAGCAATTTTAGCCAGTTCTAGCTATTTTTAGCCGAACCTGGCTACCAAAAAAAATCTTCGATGAGGGACACAAGCTTTAAAACAGATATATCTGTTGCCTGTTACCCAAATTATCATATTTGAAAAGTATTTAAATTGTGTAACTAACAGTTTTTATAATAATTAAAAAATGTTGATTTTCTTATGTTTTATTAAAATAATTTGATTATTTTTTCTATTGCAGAATCTTCTTTATCCTTTTCCTATTATTAAAATGGACTCTAAATTAGCGTGGGAGGTTTGAACTTTGGTGTTTGTTTTTACACCAGTAACAAGTGTTTGTAATAAAAGATTTAGCTGTCATTCTCAGAAGGGGCTTAGAACTGATTAACTTTGTGTGGCATGTAAATTGTTACGACAAGTTAAAGCCATGTTGATTGTGCATCCTCGGAGCGATCTGTACAGTCCACCCATCATATGATCAAACAGCGACAACTCGCCGACAGTGATAGCGTCATAATACGCATATGAATTGAAAATTCAACGCTAACATTGCTTCAACCTTTATTCCAGCTTTAACGGCACATAACGAGTAGCAAGGTTGAACAGTTTTATGCATGGAAAAAGTGTAGCAAATCAGCGTTTAGAATCCTGGCAAGGATTACTTCGTAAACAAGGTTGCACTGGCGGATATCATTTTTCAAGGATCTTATTGATTTCAAAGTTTCGATATAACAAATCGTGTACATATGGAATGTCTTATTATGGACTTGATCCAAGCAGAACTCTACATGACAAGCGAAATCCCAAAGAATATAGAAATACTTTACGGAAGACCTGATATAATGTATTTTGTACCTGGAATCTATGGTGGGCATAACTGTGATCATCGTGTTGATCAAGAAGACATAAAGATATGCCAAAACTTTTTATTAAAGGGCCTCATTAAAAACCGAGAAACTTGTTCTAGTGTTGTCGCCGAATAACGGAAAGTTTTTGATAGCCATTAAACGTACCTTGAATTTTTACAGATGATTGTGGAACGTTTTTACAATGACTTACAATGAACATGCAATTGGGTTTCGTGTTGGCATTCATAATTATTAATTTAGATTATATTTATTTTTTGATTATTATATTGATTATATTGTTAATGATAAAAAAATATTTAATTTTTAACATCAGATTTATGTGATTTCAGTTGTGTCTAATAATATACTTTGTGCTAAATGATGACAGGAATGTTGTTGAAAAAACCTATTGAACTGTTTCAAGATAACTGTTAATGAGGAACGTCTGGGTGAAGTCAAAGCTTCAATAAATGGTCCTATTCAAATTGTGTGTTTATTCTACATTTAAAATTACAGAGTATGTATTACTTTGCATCAGCGGTCAATGCTTCCGTGTATCCATTTCTACAAGGTCAAGATCACAATGACCACTTAAATTAATGTTAACCATTGCCTTAATTTTTAACGAAGTGCACTTCTGTTTTAATATTTGATGAACTCATCAGCGGTTTGATTACTGATTGGGGTTACCATGATATATAAGTATATTAAAAATACAAGGATTTGTCTTAATTATATAGTATTTGAAAAATGCCATTTGATGATTAATTTTCCTAAGGTGTTCTGCACAAATGATCGATGGAGTGAACCTGTCTTGACTACAATTGGAGCCATCATTATATTCAAAGGAATCGCATTACTGAA